GTACTAGTATAGCCAAAGGGATATGGGTTAAAATTTAGAGCGAAGCAAGCTAGAGCTGGTCCACGACGGCGTAACCAGCCGTCTTGTTGCGGCGAACGTAAGCGTACATGACGAAAACGACGACCGACATGACGACTGCACTCCACACGTAGACCATATCGTCGCGGAAGATATGCGTGAGACCGAGGATGGTCGATGCAATACCGCTGGCATACGTGAGCTTCCCGACGAACCCATGCCACTCGAAGATCGTGCGGCCTTGGAACTGGAGAAACTTGAGCTTGCGGCGCCCGACTTCCATCTGCAGCAGCATGAGCGCGACCGTGATGAAGCCCATCCAGCCGTGCTTGTTGTGCGGGAAGAGCCGCTTGCCCGCCATGCCGCGGCTGATCAAGATGCCCGCGAGGCCCAGAAGCGTCGTCGCAAGCACGGCGTAGTGCATGAACTTGTGGATGTTGCGCTGAATCCGCTTGTTTGGCGACCGCGCGTTGAGCCCGTCGAACGGCCGGTACACGAGCATCGCCTCGGACGAAAACGCGACCCAGCCCAGCGTCATCATGAGGATGTGCACAAAGAGCAAGTTGACGCCCGTCTTGATCATGACGGCAACGCAGATGGCCAGCGCAGCCACGAGGCAGTACCATGTCACGGGCGCGATGTTGTCGCGGAGCTCGCTCCAGACAACGGACGGCGACCGCGCATAAGAGTGGGCCGCCGGCGGACCATGCTCGTCGTCGTCATCGTCGCCGGCAACGCTGCTCAGAACAGTACTGCGGTCATACGCGTCCGACTCGTCGGCTTCCGAAGGCTTCCGTGCGGGCAGTTGGCCGCGCGACGTCGGAAGCTCCACGTCCATCTTAGGCTGCGTGGAAAAGCGCAAATGCAGATAGAAAAGACGGATACGGGCAAGGTACCCGGTTTGCCGGATAAACGCTGCCAGCCGTTGCACAAAAGTGCCACCCAAAATAGTGTTAATGCTGACTTTATGTGTGTTTGCTGTAACTTTCCGACCGCAGGCGTGGGGCTCGCGACGACCGATACTTGAAGTCTTGCTATATTACAACTCTGGCTGTGCACCCTACACACAGTACTGTGCACTCCGTGATGAGATAGAAAAACCAGTTACATGTAATAGTGTAAGTCCACGGAAATGATAGTGTTATTGCATTTTGCGCGGGACTGCGACAATCGAATCTTGGCTGTTCAAGTGTTTTCAGGAGTCGCGCTTGTTGCCAGTAAAGGGGGCAAAGGAGGTGGATTACCACGCCTGCCATGGGTTGGCGAGGCGGGTCGAGACTTAGCAGGCCGAAGCCAAATCGAAACTGCGTCGAGGTTTGGCTGGCCTTTGCCTGCTCCTCCTAAAAACTCTATTTCTACTCTCTACCGATACGTTGAAACGCCCAAGCGACGTCGTCGCAATGACGCGTCCACACGCACAGGACAGAGTGTACCGGTTTCGATAAAGTGTAGAGTCTTGGTGGTGTGCCAAATGAAAGTAAAACTCGGTGGCTCCACGTTCCGCTCAGATGCCCCAACGCAAGGCTAGAACGCACGGCTAACTGTTCATAGAAGTATTGGGCCTCTGGTCATTTTTGTAGCTGCGTGATGCGTGTTTGTCGTTTCACCATGGTTTTACATCGATGCACCGGCTGTGTACGTCTTGTCGATATAAGTCGCCCATGTTCGAGAGGTAGGCATCCACAGCCTCAGCAGAAAGGCCTTAAACATCATGACATTAGGTACTCGAGCCGCATACACTAAACAATGTGCTTGATTTACGTGCCACAGAGATCCATGTTGGCATCGTTGTCTGCGAAGCAGCACGATGAGCTGTTGGCGTATTTCACATTAGGCTTCGGTTTCAGATCGCCGTCGGATGTTCTACACTGTAAATACTGTGCGTACACTATATACGGTTGACCTCTCGCCCAACCAAAATTCGAGTGGCTTGCATCAGACGCGAATTCGCTAACTCGAAGAAGATGATCGTCCCCGTGCGCTGCTTCACGTGCGGCAAGGTGCTCGCCAACAAGTGGGAGACGTACCTCAGCCTCCTGCGCTCCGACTACACGGAGGGCGACGCGCTCGACGAGCTCTCGCTCAAGCGCTACTGCTGCCGCCGCATGATGCTCACGCACGTCGACCTCATTGAGAAGCTCCTGCACTACAACACGGGCGGTACATACCTTCTTGCTACGATGGTCCATCGCTCATCTCCTCTCTGTAGCCATCGAACGGGGCGCCGACGACTAAGTTCTTGGCCAACGCACTCGACGACGACCCGAATTTGCATAATATTAATCCCAACCCATCCATGCATGCCTAGATGAACACGAGCTTCTCGACGTAGTCTTCGCTCTTGCCATACTTGCGCACGAAGCCGAGGTACCGCAGCGTCGAGAGCGCGCGCAGGAAGCGAACCTGGACTACCTTGGCGTCAACGGCCGCCTTGGCCTGCAGCGCAGCGTTGAAAGCCTCGAGCCACTCGGCCACGTTGATGAGCATGCCGGCCGTGTCGACGTAAAACGTGTACGCAACGTGCATGTCGTGACACCACGCCTGGGGCATCGCTTTGTTGGCGCGCCGTTTGCCCCCTGCGTCGGTGAGGTCTTTGGCGATAGCCGCCTTGGGGTTGCTCAGTGCGGCTTGGATGGCTTCGAAGTGCGAGGCCTCAAACATGGCCTCGAGGCCCTTGACATCGTCGTAGTAGAAGAGGCGGCCGAGGGCGCACGCTGCGGGCAGCGGCGGTGAAAGAAACCCGACCATGTCCACGACAAGAAGGGACACAATGTCGTTGCGCACTTGGGGCAGCATGCGCAAATTCTCTTCGTCGTTCATCTCTTCTTGCATAAAGGTCAGGATCTGCTTGACTTCGTCGACGCGGGTCACGACCTCTTGGAGCGTGTTGATCTCGTTCTCGACCAAGTCCATGGCGTACGTCGCCAAGCACGTGCTCCACTCATGCACCACGGTCCGCAGAAGCTTGACGCCCGCTACCGCCCATGTCAGAGTCCCTGCGCTCAAGTTTGGGCATCAAGTATACTACTACCTTGGAGGAGAAAAGCTTCAATGGCTCGGAGCGCCTTGGACTGGGCCAAGGTGCCATCGAGCGCGCGCGCGAGCATCTGCACTTCGTGGTCGCGGTGCTTGATCACGACCTTGTGCGTGAGCTCGAGGCAGCTCCAGATCGCTTGCCACACGCGCTTCCACGACTGCACGCGCAGCAAGCGCTCAATGACAAACTCTTGGGCCTCGAAGCGATCCTCGATACCCGGCGTCATGGCGGCGAGGTCGACGTCGTTCATGTAGGCGGCGACAGACATTGGCAGCGTCGTGCGCGATGCAAAGGCGACCCACGGGTGGTTGTACTCGTGCGTTTTGCGCAGCGGTAGGACGCAGAGCAGCGCCTCGGCGCCCGCCGCGTTCAGATGCCGGTACAAGAGACACCGAAGGCTCTGTAGAAAGACGGCGATCGAGTGCGTCTTGGTGTACCCAATGTAGAGCCACGTGAGGACGGCGCCAGAGCACACGATGGGGCACTCGCCCGCAATCAGAAGCGTCTGGATGATGTCGTGAAAGCACTTGAGAGAGTCTTCGAGCACGAACGGTTTGAGCACGAGGCACGTCGCGATGCGCAGCGGCATGCACCGGTAGCACGGCGACGCGAGCGACGTGAGGCCAAGGACACAGCCGAGCCGGAGCGCCGACCCGTGGTCCTTCCACATGTGCAGAAAGTCCGCAAAGACGTCTTCGGGCACGCTCTCGTACTGGTCGAGGACGAGGAGGATCGTGGGCGTCAAATTGCTCAGCAGCGCACCCGAGGCCAAAGGGCCCTAGACGACACGAGACATCAGATACAGCGTGCGCATCGCTGGCGCGTACCATGAGCGACGTCTCTTTGGTGAGCGCGAGGAAATGCTGGCGCAAGAGGTAGCGCTTGCCGTCCACGTGCGCGCCTGCGAGCTCCGTTTCGAGACGCGTCATGTACTTGAGCAGCAGCTCTTGGTGCAGTTGAAGCAGCAGGCGCTCAGTGAATGTATCGGGGCCGACCTACAGACAGACTACGTCAGCGAGGTGGACAACGACGAAGGTCTTGTACAGAGCGCTTGAGCGATGCGAGCCGATCGCTCGAGTCCTCCACCAGGCTGTCAAAGACGCTCTGTACGACGTGGAATGGCTGGTTCCGACAGTCATCGAGACGCTGCTCCATCTGCGACCGGAGCTCGAGCACGAGCATGTCCGCTTGGATGCTCACGTCGTCTGCGAGCTGCATGATGGGCGTCACGGCCCGAGAAAGCTGCTCGAGGATGCCTATGGCAGTGCTCAGCGCCGTACATAGAGTGTAGTCGGTCGCACCTGCCACCGTGTCCCACTTGATCACGGGAAGGTCCGACTCGGGCTTGTAGTCCTCCGTGCGCGCACTGCGTCGCGTGGCTGTCTGTTGCGTCGTGCGCCGCATCTCGCTCTGAAGCCACTGGCCCTCGCGCTCGCGCTGGTGGATCTCGTGAAAGATTGACGTCGCTACGAACTCGAGCAGCATCCGCCCGTTAGCATACTTGCGCTGGACCGAGACGACGAACGGGAACCGCCGCTTGAGGTGCCGGATGAGCGGGTCTGTCCACACCGCGCTGGACGCGGCGCTCGCGTCCGTCCCAGCAACGATCGCGGCAACAGGAAAGGGCTGTAGCGGCACGAGGTGGTCTTGCTCAAAGTCGAGCTTTGGGTTGGCGGCCGACCGCGCGACAAAGTAGTCGAGAACCTGCAGGTAGCACGCATGGTTGGCCTTCTGCAGCACCGAGTTGACGGCTGTCTGGACCTTCTCGTACGTAAACTCAAAGGCGGCGCCGCTAAGATCTGCGTCCAGCTTTTGTCGCTTGCGCGCCGATGGCTCGGCCGCGTGCCACGCGATGCCTGTGCTCAGGTCCACGTGCTCGGCCATCGTTTTGGCTCGCGGTTTGCCGTAACCGGTTGCAGCCGAACCGCATGGATAACTTGAGCTGCTGGATTCTATACACTTGGTATTTGTATCGATCGGCGAACAAGGTTGTGTGGTGCAGCGAAATTCGCTTACAAAGTACATTCCGACGCGACCGCAAAAAAGTGGTCGCGCAACGCATTTCTACTCGCATGATCTGGAAACGTCATGCGCAAGGAGCGCGATGAGCGGCCTCTCACTTGCCGCAACGGCAAGTGGCGCCAGACGTGGTTCTAATTTGGAGATCGGCTGTAGCCAAACGTACTGTTTGTATGGAAGCTCCGCGATGTCGCTTGGTGACGCCGGTGCCACGCCCTCGCAGCTCGTGACTGGCGGCTGCGTTGGCTTCTTCTCCAGTTCTCAGCATCTCGTGCTGCAGTTGAGCAGTTATAGAGTTGCCACGTCAAAGATCTGATCCAGTCGTTGCGGGCTGATTTTACCGTCGAAATTCCAACCAAACAAACGTTGCAACGAAGCGCTCGATTGAATCTGACGCGATGCGACCCTTTCGCAACGTGCAGTGAGTGTCTCTTGAAGTACGATGCGATATAGACGCTTCAGGGACGGTAATGAAGACGCTGTAAATTTGGCGCCCAGCGTCCGCGAATCTTCATGTCCGGTCCATCTCCGTCGTGGTTTTGGCCAGCCCATCGACGTGGGTGCGTCATGCGTCCTAGTGGTCCATCTCGGCCAATCCGAATTTGCTTTTCACACAGGCCGCACGCCGATTGGAGGTCCAAAAGTCGTTACTCACACGCTTCCGGCTGCGGCGCCAGAGGACCCATGGCGACCTTGAAGCTCTCAGTTTGCATCTTGAGTCGCATAGCACACATACCTTCACGATGGCCATGGACGGACTCCGCAAGAGCGCGTCGTCGCGCAACCTGAGCCAGCTCGCGCAGCAGCTGCGAGGACTTGAGCCCACGACGCCAGCCAAGCCTCAAGTGCAGCGACCGCCGCGCCACACCAATGTGCCTACGTACCTGCAATGCACCAAACCGCTCGGCCCGCTTCCGGTGAAGCCATTGACCCTTGGTGACTGCAGCCGAGAGATCGCGCATTTGACACACTCGCTCCGCGTCCGCGCATGAGAGCGCTATGCTCGCTTGTACCCTAGATTAAATAACACGCCCTATTTTATTTTATACTTTCCATCTTATCCGGATCCGCATCTCAAGCACAAAACTCGCCGAGCAAGCATGGTGCCAAGCGCCGCTGCGATCCGAGCGTGGGTCTTCCTCGCCGGTAGGGCATGCGTACCCGGCACTACCGCGCTCAAGAGCTTATACGTATAGGTGGCCTCGTTGCCTTGTACCTGCTAGGTCCATTGCTGCAGGCTGTCTTTATGCGTATCGTGGTCGTCGCCGTCTGCATCTTGCTCCTCGCTGCCGTTCTCAACCCGACGGATCTCTCGTTTGCGCATTGGGCAGCAACGCAGGTCAACCAAGGCCGTGTCGTGCCAAGCTCGTGGTTCAAGTCGATCGTCGAAAGCGTTCTACCGGGTCCCGACGAAGCGACATGGCGATGGACCCGATACAATCTCGTCTTTCTGAGTCTCGTGCACGTGGCGGCCATCGAGCGGGACGCCATCGGTGTCTTTGGCCTTTGGTTCTGGGCCGACTCGAGCTACGTTCTTGCCTCGCTCTGTCGGACGTACCGCCCATGGGCAGCCGCACTCACGAATGGCGGCCAAGCTTCGGGCACGCAAGCCCACTCGAGCGCGGCCGTCGCACCGGCCTCCGAGCACGAATGCCGCTCGCTCGCTGTGGAGAAACGAAAGAGTGGGCAGTTTGCCCAAGCGTACGAGAAGTACATGGAAGCCGCCGACCTCAGCATCAACCCGCTGGACCAAGCGCTGTACCGACTCGAGGCTGCGCGGTGCCTCACCAAGACGCTCAGTTTGGCCAAATCCAAGTCAATTTCAGGCACGTGCATCAAAATCGAGCGACTCTACCGTGACAGCTGCAATGTACGGCGCGCCAACCTCGTCATTTGTCTAATGTGCGCGACTTAGAGTCTCGTGGGGCATGGCGAATTCCATGTCGCGGGCGTCGCCTTGATTGAACTCGCGGCGCTCTTGACCGAGTGGACGGTGCCGCTCAGCGCTTCGTCCGATACTGAGACAACCGAGACGCTGGAGCACATCTCGAAGGCCTACTTGGAAGCTGCCCTCGTCTTGGAGGCCGCCGACACTGTCGTCGATCGGCGACTTGCCTTCCAGAGCAGTCTCGCTGCTGGCAACCTCTTTGCAGATGCAGCCATGAGCAACGACACCGCACGCGACATGTGGCTCGCCGCCGCGGAGGCCCAGTTCCGGTCCGTGGGTCTGGCGCATATCGAGATCAACGTGTCGTGGGCGAAGGACGCATTCGCCTGCGCTGTCTTTACCTTGCTCGGGCGCGCTGATGTGCCTGGCGCCCAAGCTGCGTACATTGCGTTTGACGAGCTGTGCATGGCGCATCTCACGCCGGTCGACCACCTCCTCCTCTCGGTCTTTGCCGCGTACGACAAGTGGCAAGTGGACATGCTGCACGCTGGCGTCGCTGCGTATGCGACGTCGGCCGATCGGTTGCTTGGGTGGCAGGTAACGAGAACATTGTTGATGTTCCACGTCAACAGCCCACGCTCCGATCTTATTCGTGACGGCTTCTTCTTGTAGGAACGCGCATTGTCCCAAGTCACGACGCTTCTTTCGGCGCCGACGACAGACCTTCGCTGACCGTACCTGTCTGTGCAAGTAAAATTTCGCCATACACCTGGAATCCACACTCTTTTACGGATCCGTTGTTGTCGTAACCAAGCTTGTCGAATGGTGTTTCTCACCGAGAAGAGGTCGTGCCAAGCAGAGACGGATATTTGTTGAGGAAGGTTCGAACGGCCAAAACACACAGCAGGCGAGACTAGTACGCACAGGAGAGCTCTTCGTTCTTGGCTGTTCTATTGTGCAAGGACGACGCCGGAAGTCCGAACTTTCTCGTGGCGTCGCGAGCCTTCATGACGTGGAGCGACGATAGGCCGTCGCGAGCTGACTTCAACGTGTGACGCTACGACGCGCACAGCCATTTTTCAAACTTTGTCGACGCGATCGGGATATCGTATACAGAACGCAAGTCTTTTTTCGTGGCAAATAGAATCCGCGACTGTTTCGGATTGTAGGTATTTCCGAATTTGCGACGCAACACGATGGCTGTGATCCTGGCCGCGCTACGCCCGCCGACGACGCCCGTACGCCGCCACGCCCGCCGGCGTCAGTGCCACAACTGCCTTCAGATGTTCGTCGAGTACAGCGAGTGTGAGCCCAGCGGCGCGTACACCCGCCTGACGCTGCTCGACGACGACACGCCGGTCTACTGCTCGAGCGACTGCCGCGCCACAGCGGCAATCCTGCACATCCAAAACACGTGGGCGCATGCACATTGCGCCGGGCCTGACTATGGCCTCGCTCGCCACGTCAACAGCCGTCTTGCCGCCAAGCCTGATGGCGGCTCGAGCCCGCGCGCGATCCCGTTCCGGCGCTGGTCCTCGGACGCCCGCGACCCCGACTCGCTTCTCTGATGCACCGTCGCCTACTTATCTATGATCGTACCATTATTATTTCCCAACCAACACGGTCGGCCGGCGCACGTTCTTCTTGGATGTTGCACGGCGCAATCTCCGAAGAAGCGGGAACCAGGTCGCCCGACGAATCTACTTCTGATCAACTTCAACTCGGTCGCAGACGTGGTGTTCGAGGTGACACAGAATCACGCCGGCCACCGCATGTCTTTGGCGCCGCCGCCACGGGAGCGTACGACGATATGCCCGACTTTGACGTGGCTTGCACTCTGGCTCGTACACTAGTGTAAGGCAGTGGATCTGCCACAGAAGACAGAATATTGTTGATTTGACACCCTCTCGTTCTCTACATGCCTCCAATCGAGGAAAATGCAGGAATGGTTCCCTTCGTTCTCTGTAGCGGCAACTGCGTGAATTTGGTGCCAAGAGAAAAGCCACCCAAAAACCCGAAAAACGCGCCGTGCTGTGCGTTTTTCTACGCCGTCGCGGTGCGACCGTTTATACTGCGGCGCTCGCGGTGTGGACCCTGCAGCCTTGAAGACAACGGACGCGGCTTCTTCAACGCGAACATGGACGCGCTGTATGGTGCCCAGCGCACGCGGCTACAGAAAAAGCGCACAAATGCAATTTCGGCGGCTCTCACAACTGTCAACCTGTAGGCAGCTCCAGGAACTGAGTGCTCTCCGCCGCCCACAGCGACAATAACCGCCTCGTAACGAGAGCCCATCGCTGCCACTCGTCTTGGCGGAGGCTACGCCGACCGTCCGATCCCTTGGATTGCGCTATGCGATGCATTACTTTCGTGCACGCGAACCTTCCTTGTACGGTACGAGCAGTCGGCTCGCGACGCCACCAAAGCCGGAGAAGAGCGTCAAGCGCGTCGAGAAATCGAAGGCTGTCACCCCCAGCACCACGGCAGGCTGCCTGATCTGCGAGCTGGCTTTCAACGACGGCCGCACGCAGCGGTCGCGGAGAAGGGTCCTGGTTCAAGGGAGACATATTAGAAAATAGCACATATATTGAGATATTACCGGGAGATTCACGAGCCATACCGGCTGTGATTGGTGGACGCTCTGGACATCCGGATACAGGACCACTTGTATGGATCGAGGTGCGAGGGCCACCACATTGGGATGAATGTCGAGTTGGTCAAGGCGGTCTGCCGCCCTTGCCGCGGGGCGGACAGCTTGGGCATCTGCGGCGGCCGATGGAGCGAGATCGATGGCGCCGAGAAGGCCACGTGCCTGAGCTTCAACGCCTGGGGCACGTTGCTCAGCGTCGGCGAGAAGGACGGCCTCGTCTCGCTCTGGGACTACTCGACGATCCAAACCATCATTCGCGAGCTCAACCCGCGCCTCTACGCGGGGCTGCCCGACTTCAAGCAAGCCACTGTCTGTGCCTGGTCGGCCAACGGCCGAACGCTCGCTGTCGCCTGCGAACACAAGGCGTCCGGTAAGCGGAGCACGCTTCTCGTTTGGAATGTCGAAAGCTCCGCGCTCGTCGCTGCCGTCGCCCTCGAGTCCATGATCACGCACATCTCGTTCCCACCAAGGTCCGTGTCGCTAGCGCCCTCAAGCCTGCAAGACAACACCCACACGCTGCTCCTGAGCTGCTTCAACGGCGATGTACTCGAACTTCTCATATCGCCGCGCACCGCAGGCGACGAAGCGATTCCGTCCCCGTTGCAGCTGGTACCGTTCCGACAAGACGCAGCGAGCCCACTAGAGACGCCTGCAGTCCAGTTGCGCGTGCGTCATGTAGACGTGACGGGTATGGTCGACGCGATTTGCGGCGAGTCGTCGGCGACGCCGTCTGTGCGCAACCAGATACCGATCGTCCTTGCCAAGTATGGGCCCGAGCACATCTACTGCCTCACGATGCGAGGCCTCCTCGCCAAGATCGACCCCATCTCGCTCCAGCTCGTCCACGGTGTACCGCTGCCCCAGGTGCAGCACGTCGACTTGTTTGTCGACGCAGAGACCGTGCTCGTGCCAAGCCTAAAGGGCATCCACGAGTTTGCCGCAGAGTCGCTCGAGGAAGTGTACTTGTACAACGCTGGCGCGGCCGTCAAGTCGCCGTGGATCATGTGCACCAAGTCCCACGACGGCCAGTTCGTCCTCGGGTTGCCGCTGCCCCGGGGCATCCTCGTCGGCGAAAAAGGCATGTACCTCTGGAAGCGCCACACGTCGTCGCAAATGTGGCACGAGACGCGCTTTGGGATGAACATGACGGCGATCGCGTGGCATCCGGAGAAGGAGTCGCTGACTGTCATCTCGGCCGCGGGCACCGTCAATACGCTCGAGATCGAGTACAAGTCGCCGTGGCCGGTGCGTCATTACCACCAGTGTACCTCTAAAACTCACGTCGACCTTCTGCCGGTTAGGGCGCCATGTACCCCCCGGGGTTCACGCTCATCACCGACAATGTCATCTACGACGAGCCCGAAGACGAGTTTGACACCAACATCCAGCTCTGCACGCTCGCGCACTGCGATGCGTCCGAGGTCGTCGACGTCATGAGTGTCGACGCGCCGCAGACGACGGCGTCGTTCCCGGACGACCTCAAGTACGTACCGGCATCGCCGCTGGCAACGGGCGAGGCACACAACATCGACGACGACAGCCAGCGGGACGTCGGCAGTGTCTTTCGACCAATGAAGCGGGAAAACACGTCGCCGCCCAAAGCTCCGTCCAAGAAGTCCCGGAAAAGCTCCTAGTACACGATCGTATCGTCGAGCGGTTTCCGCCGCGTCGTCTTCATGCGTGCACATGCTCCGTCATGACCACCATACAACCATCACTAATCTCTTTAATCAACATGTCTTTTTTCTTAGTCGGCAGCTTACGACGGTCGATGGACGGCGCCGAGGGCCGCATCCAGCCGTGCCAACACGCGATCGAGGCGGGAGGTGCCGTCCGAAGGCAAGACAATCAGCGATGGCGGTCGCACGTCAGCCTCGAGCGCTGCCAGTCGCGCTGTCCGCGCTGCGTCTCGAGCCCGCAGCACCTCGAGCTGCATCGGCCCGTCCATCGTTACGTCCACGTGGTGCTTGCAGACGATTGCGTCTGAGAGGTGGCCTGGCTCGCCGCAGCGGCCGCACGGGAGTAAGCTCTTGCGCTGCATGGACGGCGTTAGCTTGTGCTCGACCTCGACGTTGTAGCGGTTCAGCGCCGTGAACCGCCGCAACTTGAACCAGTCGCGCTGGACGCGAAAGTAGGCGCAAACGCTCTGGAACGCCCGTGTCGACGGCGTCAAGACCGAAAAGAGCGCGTTCGTCGGCAGTACGTAGACGTGCGTGAGGACGGACGCGACGCTATACGTCGTGAACGTCGCGTCGTCCCCGACGCAGCTCTCGGAGAGCCCCGCAACGTCCATGGGCCGCAAGATCTGCAACTCGACGCGGCGCGTTGCCACGTGGCGGTCTTCGGATTGAACAAGGACGACGTCGTCGATCGTGTACACGCGGAGCTCGCCGCTGGCGACAAGGTAGATGCCGGTCGGCTGCCCGGCCGTGAAGAGGTACTCGCCCCGGGGCACGGCCAGGAGCGGCGGCACGTGTCCAGCAATAAACTCGAGCGCCGGTGTCGCCAATCCTGCAAAGAGGAACGTCGCTTGAAGGCTGCGCAACACGTTCACGTCGTACGGGAACGGCGGCGACGTCGGAACAAGCGACGCAACCAGCGCTTCGTCCGCTGGCGTCGCCGGCGTTAGCGCAAAGAGTAGCGCGGGCGTGTTGGTCGGGAGCCCGATTGCGCTACGCTCAATGTGGCCGTTGGACGCGACCGTGACGTAGTGATACTCAAAGTTGTAGTAGAGCGCGTCGAGGCCAAAGCTCTGGCCAGGCGTGAGCGTGCGCCAGGACCGCGCCGGCATCTGCCGCTTGCGCCGGCTGTGACCAAACCGGTGCGGCCGCACGTACTCGGTACACGAGCCCGTCGCGACGACAAAGAGACTTCCCGCAGGTGTCACATCCTGCGTCACGATCGCCGCGCCTGCCGCGTGCGTCTGCATCGTCATCATCGCGACAAGGGCCGTGATGTCAACGCTGCCTCGCACGGCCCACGAGGTCAGCGTCGCGTGCACGACAGGATGCGTCTCGAGGAGCCAGCGCGCAAGATCGTCGTTCTGCTTGAGACTGCGGCCGGTCGCTGCCGCCAGTAGCTTGGTGTAGTACGACGGTGCACGAAGGCTTTCGTCCGAGGCGCTCGGACCCGCGTAGATCGAGTCCCGGCGCGGCGACGGCCGCGTTGGCGGTGGCATCGGCCGCCGGCGCATCGGTTACAGCGGGCGTTGTAGCAACGTGCGGTATACTGGAACGCAAGCAATGCAGAAACAACAATGTATACTCGACTCGCAAATGTCCTGACTACGCTGACGGCGGCGCGTCCAGGGCTTTTAGAAGCGCTGAAAGACGCTGCTTGGACGCATCGGTAGCATCGAGACGGCCCGAGCGCATGACCTTAACGTGCGTTTGCTGGACGAGGGCGTCGCGGGTGTTGGCATAATACGTCTTGAGGTCGCCTAGAGTGCACGTCGAAATTACGCTACGATTGCCATCGGATCGTCGAGCACCGTGCAACACGTCGTAGTGCTTTTGGACGCCCAGGAGGATCTTGATGAGGCGCTCGAGCGCTGTCGGCTGCGTCGCGTCGACGCATGCAAGGAGGTGGTTGACAAGGTCCAAGGCAACGTCGCACTGTACATCCACTTGGGACTTGAGCTCCGTCAACGCCCGAAGCACGCCCTACAGTCCCATCGCAATGACGCCGACAAGACGACCAGTTTCCTACGTCAATGATTGTGGTGGCGACCGTGTCGAGCTCGAGGCGGGCCGCCGTGTCGCCGCCAAACAAGACGTCGTTGCCCTCAACTACGCATCGCTGAACATAAGCCGAATGGAAGGAGCCTTCTTGCATGTACCCAATCCGATCTTGTACGGTGCCGTCTCTTGGGCGCAGGCCGACAGAAACGGAAGCAGCTGGATCTGCATGCGGAGACCGTTGACATCCTTTGCGTGCCACGCAAACTTAGAGAGGGCATTTGCAAAGCCGTGGTAAAAGTACAATGGCGCCTCTGCTGAAAGCGACGGCACGACGACAAGCAGCGAGAGAAGATCTCGCATCGCCGCACAGACCAGCGACTCGTACAGGGCTGCGGACACGGGGCCGTCGCTGTCTCGGAGCGCGGCTTCTTGGGCGGCGACCTCTGCAGACGGCACTTCAGTCATGAGCACGATGCTGGCCTTGACGAAGGCGTCCATTTGCGGTAGACAGTGGCATAGCAATGCGACCTGAGATTGTATCTGTGTAGCAACAAGTGGATCCCTGCGTAAAAATCGTTACCTTGGCGCAGGCTGTCATCAACGACAGCTTTTCCAGTGGATCTGGCAGCGACGGTATCGTAATGTGGCAGTATGCGAGGCAACCCTTGACAAAGTTGCGTGTCGACGTCATATGAATCTACACGTCCATAGTTGACGACTTTTCCCGGCAAAGCAAGAGGAGGTACCCGTGGGTAGGCACGCACGGCAAGTACCAGGACGCGTCGGATGAGACAGGCTTTCACCTTGTCGAGTTTGTAAAAAGCACTGCGGCAATCCACGAGTAGCTGCAATAGCGCATCCTCGCCGTCGCGCGTCAAGGGCGCATCGAGCGCCAGCACAAAGTTGCAGAGCAGAGCGGCTGCTTCGGCGAGCTCGGACTTGGCGCTGAGACTGTCGAGGGCATCGTGGATGCGCAAGCTCAGGCTAAAGAGGATCTGGACGAGCGCAGCGTGCGGGCCGTGCACGTTGAGGGTGACCTTGGACTTGCGCAAGAAGGTTTCAAGGAGCCGCTTGCTGAGCGAGACGTTGGTCGTGTGGCGAAACATACCCAGCAGCGTCTACATTCCGTGATGCGTAAGAGAACCGTCGATGGGTGCCATTGGCGGTTTACGAGAAACTCGGAGGACGTGATGATCGTGCTGAAGTAGTAGAGCTGGCGGCGCGCCTCGAGGATGATGGTCGTCATGGTCGCTTGCAGCATCTGGTACATCTTGGCGTCCATGGTCTCGGCCGTATTGAGATGGCGCACGATGTCCTTGAGGAGAATGACGACCTCTCGGCTCTGCGCGCACACTCGTTATTTCCTGCACCACGGACAAAGACAGACGCACCGAGTAGTGGGCAACAAGAAGTTGCATAAAGCCCGTGGCGCACGTCAAGTACGCATGGATGTCGCTCAGTTGCGTAATGGTGCCCCACACCTCGTTGAGAAACGTGAGTTTATCCGCGTCGGGCGGCGACGCGTGCACGAGCTGTGTGCACAGACAGCGGTACAAGTCGACCTAGAGCAACCATCCAGATGCATGGACAATGACGGTATGTTCCCAAACCTTGGGGCCGGTTGTTTGCTTGATGAGGTACACAATGTCCATGGTGTGTTTGGCCAGAGCGGTCGGGGGAAATGTCTTGATGACGTGCGAAAGTACCATTCCGTTCTCTGGGTATTGCTTGTACTGCGACAGAAGCGCCTCTGCTTCGTTCTACCTCGGTTTTAGTAGGAACTTGTGTAGGAAAGGAAGCCTACCCCAGATGCGTGCAGTGCAATGCCTTTTGCCAGCCACTCGACGGCCGGTGAGTGCATCGCACGCATCTCGCTTTCCGTAATCTCGTGCTCGGCGTAGAACGTTGGCGCCTGTCTCAGCATGTTGTTTGGTATCAATGAATGGAAGAAACGCTACCGCATCGAGCGAGAAGCGATGCATGATGTACATGTAGTCTTGCATGCTGCTGAGCAGCGCTGGGTTGGGGGTCGACGGTGGCAAGACGCGCGAGCTGGCCAGCGCGAGGTACGCTCGGCAGTACAAACCGATCGTAGGATCCCCAATCCCACTGTGAACAAGGGACGCATGAAAATTCCATTCGAAAAGAAACAAATACGTACCGGATCATGTTGGAGAGGCGGGATACGATCTGGGGGTACTCTCCGTCGCAGAGGAACCGGTAGCAGCGCAACAAGGCGATTTCCGTGTAGCTAAAGCCGTATAAGATACCTCGATTTTGGCTGCTGGTTGTACATGCGGGGGAGGAGCTCGCGGATGCAAGACGTCTTGTAGAACCAGTTGCGACACGTCTCTTTCGCCTCGATGCAAATGTCGTTGCTCGTAAAGTTGGCTACAAACATGCCACTTGGTCCATCACGAATGGCGAGCCAGAGGCAACGTACACGCAAGCGGCTTCTCTAGCGTTTCCTCCGCTTTTGCCAAAATGCGGTTGTAGACGTGCGACCCAAAGCAGTCGAGGACATCGCTCACGAGCACAAACATGCATGGGTACAGCTTCGGGAAGCTCACGTCGCCAAGAAGTTTGAAGCACTACATGCCCACAGGCATTCAAATGCAGTGACACCCACCGAGCTTCGTCGATCTCGTACCTTGATGGCAATCCGCAAGGCAAGCACCTTCTGGTCGTCGAGCCACGCAGCGACAAAATCGGTCTGGAGCGTCTTGACGCGGTCAATGTACTCGGTCTTAGACACTTCGACGGTCGACGATGCGCCCTCGGGCTCTTTCTTGTTCTCGAGCTGCTCCAAGCGAGCGCGCGCCTTCCGGATCGCGCTGCTGTCAGTTTGCGGATCGTCGTCCGAGTAGACAAACTGGCGACTCGCACTGTCGTCGACGAAGGCTTGGTCGTTCGCATGCAGCTTGACCTTGAATGTCTCCGACGCAAAGTCCTGGAAGATACCATCCTTCGCCATGATCCATTCGTCAAGATAGTCGTTCCTCTCGTCCTTGACCTCGGGTACCGCCGATGATGGCGCTACGAGCGTTCGCTTGCTCGGCGCTTTGGGTGCATCCGCCACCGAGACCGACGACCCCATCATCGCAGAGAGTGGGTCAAGCTCACCGTCCTGAAGCATAATGACCCCAGCGCTCGCCGATGGCTCGGCCGGTGGGTCGGGCCGCGGCTGCACTGTCTTGATCTCGGGCTGGATCTCGGGCTTGTTGCGGCTACTTACATGGACGCACAAGGGGTCGTCGGCCGGGTTCACGGGCTGAAGCGTTGGTTCGTTCACTGCATGCTCCACGGAGAGCGTCGTCTTCTTCGGCCCGAGGGTCCATCCCCCGTCGCTTCCTTCGACGCCCATTGCTTCTCTTCGTTCAAAAGATATCGGTCAGTTGGAAAAGGTTTGGATTTTAGCCAATTGAATGTACGTACGTTGCCAACACAACCTTTGATTGGATAAAATATGGAGATGTCCCTTTGCCTGCGTCAGATTTCCATCAGTGGCCGCCATGACGTCGACGCGCAAGTTCCGCTGCGAGGACTTGTTCCGGTTCAACAACGTCAACCTCGATGTGCTGACGGAGACGGTATGGCTACGTGGAAGCCCAATACCTCATGCGACGCTTCCTGCGTAGTACAACATGTCCTTCTACCTGCAGTACCTCACCAAGTGGCCCGACTACTTTCTCGTGCAGGAGGACCCGAACAAGACCATGATGGGCTACAGTACGTGCAGACGATTGATGCATGTCGCCTGATCTCAACCACGCCACTGGCTAGTCATGGGCAAGGCGGAAGGCAAGGCGGAGAATTGGCACGGCCATGTCACGGCGGTGACGGTCGCGCCCGAGTTTCGTCGACTTGGCCTCGCCAAGAACCTCATGGACTACCTTGAGAACGTCTCTATTGAGCTGTGCGATGAGAACGATGCGATTCTCGCGATGGCTCATGCCCCGCTGTAGGTACGACGGGTACTTTGTCGACCTCTTCGTCCGCGTCTCCAATACGCTCGCGATCGGCATGTACGAGAAGTTTGGGTATTCTGTCTACCGACGAGTCATTGGATACTATTCTGGAGACGGCGACATGGAGGACGCCTTCGGTACGCATCTGATGACGTTGTTGCCAGAGCTCATGCAACGGTGGTGGCTGTAGACATGCGCAAAGCGCTGCCGCGGGACAAGGAAAAGAAGTCGATCATCCCGCTGCCCCATCCGGTATACCCCGACAGCTTGATGGACTAAGCCACGTACTACAATACATGGAACGTGTATTCAACCTCGTCTTAGACACACTCGACTTGGCGCAGCGCGGCGATTGTGGCTGGTGTTGCGTCTTTGGCTGCGTTTCTTGGCTCGCTGTACGACGGCAGCAACTTGCTTGTTCTTGTCATCTCGGTGCTCATGGCTTTGCCGCTTCTTGGGGTCACGTACTTGGCAGCGCGGTACTTGCTCGCCGACGATATAGCGTAAGCATGACTGCATGGACGTCGATGCGCGTTTGCTCCTTCTGGAAGTGTCGATGCCCTTCTTTCTTGTTCGCAAAACGAGGGTTGCAGGCGCTAGCGCTTTGTCTTTGGGGTTTTGCACGTCCTTCAGGCCTTGCACGTCCTTCGCGTTTTGGGTTCCTGCGAATACCTTCGGGATGATGTGAGCATGCAAGCTACAGATGCAAGCAGACGCATTGCATTGGCTTGTCGAGACTCGGTGCGGTCGCTGTGACTGTGTCCAGCCTAGGATGGGCCCGTCATTCATGCGGTCCTTGTGTACTGTACCATGGGTCTTCTCGCACTCGTCGTCGTCGCATGGTAGTGATCCGGTGGCGTCGCGATGAGTCTTCGTCGTGATGCGGCGGCGGGTCCTGGGCGGGCACATGAGGACAGTGGGGGGTGCATAGCAGACAAGAAAAGAAAAGCGTGACCCCCTTTCGGAGGAAAGGCTTTTCTTTCCTTGTCTGCTTGGCTCGTGTCGGCGCACACGCAAGAGGTGAAGAAGTGGCGCGCCCGCCCAGGATATCTTGGTTCGACATCGGATACAGTGTACTACGTACAAGAAGGGCCAAGCTGTCGTTGCTGCGCGTGTTGGATTTCCAAGTGACGGTCGAGCTCAGCCGCAAGAGTGGCGTTATTCGAATTCGAAGGGATTGTAATATAATTCAAATTCGAACGAGCCAGTGAGGACGGGCGACGGGTTGGCGAGGAAGTTGAAGCACGCCGCTCCCAGGTGTGTGCTCCCGGCCGCCATTCATTCCGATTTCGAGGCTTTGGCGTGTCCATTGACACGCAAAATGGCGTGCCGTACGATGTAGTGGACGCTCTCTCGTACTGTGTAGTGACGGTGTCATGCACCATGTACGAACTGCCCAACACCGATGGACAGCGCGCGAAAAGTGCAATCTCGGCCGCGACTGCGTGCATATACCAGCCGCGCCCTCGTGTCGCGTACTGTGCGCGATGCCCTATTCACCACGAATCCAAGCCGGCCTCGTGATCGTGCAACGGACCACGGATAACTAACACCAAGTGCGACGTCCAATACCACAGATGGGCGCGGGCGCTCTTGTCGGAGCAAAAAGTATCTTTTTTGGGTCTGCGAGAACCTTCCGCATCGGGAAGAGTCAAGTCTCCCCCCTTCCTTCTCCATGGCGCCGGTCGTACAGTACAGAGTACACTGTACTGTTGCCGTCGACAGTTAAATCCATTGCCGTGCTGGCTTTTCGTCGCATCTTGCGTCCATCGAGCGCTCGATGCGACCGAAGAAGCCATATCGACGAGGGACGCCGGTTACGCGGGGGTTACAGGGCGGCGTAGAGGCAAGCGCGCCCGTCCAAACAGCCGCGCGTCGGACTCGCGTCGGCTTTCAATTATTCAGCGTTGTCGCACGGCGCGACTTCACGTTTTATTATGTTTTATTGCGTTTGATTGGCGCTCGACGTCCGGGATTGGCCAAAAAGCGATGGCTTTATGGGCGATATCTGCGAAATTTTATATTATTACGTCCTCTCTTCCAGCACAAGAAGGCGGAAGAGAAAGCCGACGACGACGACCTCGATGAGTGGCATCAAGAAGAGCTTGTACGAGCCGATCCGCGACTCGCAGCGGTCCAGCGCCCGGAGCCAGTACATGCCACCTCATCTGGCGCCGACAGCCGCGGCCCCGAGCCGTATCCCGCCCTACGACGTCGAGGCTGGCAAGTTTGCGATCCTCGAGCGCCACAAGATGATCTGGTCCTCGTTGGACGCGCGGGCGCGCAAGATCCAGATTCTCGCCGTGCTTCAGATCCTCCTCAACCTCCTCGTCTGCCTCGACGGCTCGTGGTACACGCAGGTCTTTGGTGTCGCAATCGGCTGCATCGGGCTCATGGCTGTCCGCGGCGACAAGGTCGACGTGCTCATGGTCTACCTCTTCCTCTGCGTCTTCGAGTTCGTCAAGAACGTCGGGTACCTCCAAGACGCCTTTGTGCACCTCGGGGACCCCGCCGAGCCCGCACCGAGCCTTGCAGCGCGCAACATGACGGACGTCATCGTCGCGCCATCGACGCCCGCGCCGTGGTTCGCCTTTGGCCTGACCCACAAGTACCTCATCTTCCAAATTTGCCTCGTGTGCATTGAAGAGTTTGTTCTCATTGTACGTTCCTTGTACCCATGGCTCACCTCGCCTCATGCGTCCTACGTAGCCGTGCGTCATCCTCATGGGCTACTCGTCGGTCCAGGCCGTCCTGCGGAATTACTAGCGCGATCGCTCCGGTTGGCATGGCACGTCCCACGCAAGCGCAATGTATGATATTTAAGAAACGCGCGACATTTTCGCCTAAAGCAGCGTCATGGTACCGTCTTGGACGAACGACTGGATCGCGCGGTAGCGAAGCGCGTGGCGGTTGTGCTGGCGTACTTGAATGTGCTCGGCGCCGCTACCGAACGACGTTATATCACTGTGGACGCAAAGGCGGCGGAAGCACGCACCGGTCATCGCACTGGACCTGGCCCAAATCCTCCTTGCTCTCGCAAAACACAAATGTGTCCAGATCTGGCGCGTCAACTAGAGTACGAAGATGATCGCACCGCGTACTGTCTGGACGACAACGAACTCATCTCGTCGGCGTCCAATTTGCGCTGCTCGGCGGGAAACTTGGAGAGCACGAGGTCATGGAAATGACCATCCAGCATCTCCAAGTATCTACAGAAAGCATTTGTAAACCAGCATGGATAGGTAACCTCATGCGTACTTGGTGGCGTATTCAATTTCAGCGCTCGAGAGACGGTCCATGGACGAAGCCAAGACGTGGCGCGTGTGCTGTTCGATCTTGGACAGGCGAATGCGCAAGTAGGACGCGATCATGTACTTGATGCGATCGATCTCCATCTATGGCACATGCTGTGGGAGCATTCTTGAGATGGCTTGTACCTGGTAGAGTTTGTTGGAGAACGCGCGCTCCTCGGTCATGTTGGCCTGGTCGCGCGCAATCTCTTCCACGTACTCTTGCTACATCTTGCTCATCAGCATGCGATGACAGTCGCACGATTCGCACCTGGTTTTGCACCTGCTCGACCATGTCCGAGAGCAACTCAACCTTGAAGTCGAGGATCTCAGGGGCATTCTAAGAGCGCTGCTTAGCCCTGTAATGTGAATATTACATGTCCCTACGAGCTCGTTGACCCATGCTTCCTGGAGCTTGTCTACATCTTCGTTGAGGCTCTCCTCTGGGATCTCGCCGGCAAGTCGGGCTGCCATCACCGCTCGAATTGGTGTCCGCTGGCGTCGCCCAATCAGTGCCGTGGATTCGTTTGTATCCGGAAAATAAAATACATCCAATGGCATCGCCGTATTTCGGCATTTTGTAGCGAATGAAAACGCACACGTGTCTATGTATCCGGCGCATCTATTTCAGCCAATCCGAAGTGAGACCTGATAAGAGTGAACATATCCCCTCTCTTGTATGAACGCCAAGAGAACCACCCAAACGTTCGTGTTGCTTCGGCCCATTTTGGTGTTGCAGGAAGATGGAAAACCAAGCGAAGCAAGCTGCTGAGAAGATGGCCAAGAAGGTCCCGGCGAGCGGTAGCCCCGCGTCGGCCTTGGTCAAGGGCCTCGTCCTCACGGCCGGTCTCAGCTACGGCCTCTACCACTCGGTCTTCACGGTCGCGCCCGGTTCGCGCGCGGTCATGTACAACCGCTTCACCGGTGTGCAGGACGGCACGAAGGAAGAAGGCATGCACGTCATGATCCCGTGGATCGAGCGCCCGACGATCTTCGATGTGCGCACGAAGGCCCACCAGGTGAGCTCGCTCACGGGCTCGCGCGATTTGCAGATGGTCAACGTCTCGCTCCGTGTCCTGACGCGCCCTAACACGGGCAAGCTCCCGGAGATCTACCGCAACCTCGGCCTCAACTACTTGGAAGTCGTCTTGCCCTCGATTGTGAACGAGACGGCCAAGCAGGTCATGGCGCAGTTCAACGCTAGCCAGCTCATCACGCAGCGTGAGCACGTCTCGCGCATGATTGCGCGCAACTTGACGGAGCGCGCGACCGAGTTTTTCATCAACGTCGAAGATGTGTCGGTGACGCACTTGAGCTTCGGCCGCGAGTACACGGCTGCTGTCGAAGCCAAGCAGGTCGCCCAGCAGGAGGCCGAGCGCGCCCGCTTCGTTGTCGACAAGGCCCTCCAGGAGAAGAAGTCGACGATCATCCGCGCCCAGGGTCAGGCCAAGGCCGCCGAGCTTGTCGGTGAGGCCATCAAGAAGAACCCCGCTTTCACACAGTTGCGCCGCCTCGACGCCGCCAAGGAGATCGCCGCCGTCATGAGCAAGTCGCAGAACCGCGTGTACCTCAACTCGGAGTCGCTCCTCCTCAACTTGTTGCACGACTCGACGACGGGCTCGTTCACCAAGTAAACAACATGCTCGTAGCGATCGCCGCTTCTTGCATTACGATTTTGAACGTCGCTTGAAGTTCGCTACTTGTAATGCAAGGAGTTCTGTAGAGGAAAATTTCCTGGGCGTTCTTCAGGCATGGCTCTAGTCAAGGGACTCTCATCAAACTGATTTGGGAAGAAAAAGAAAGGCAGAGATAACGGTGCGATGACGTGGCAAGCTCTCGTGCCGCCAGTTTCTCGATCGATACTAGCACGACGTCATGCTTGGTGGTCCTCTGTTGGTCGACTGCCATCATGGACTGCCATCATTGTTTGTGGCCATATGATGCGGATACGGTCTCGCAAGCTGCCGGTCTCGCGCACGCAACCTGACCATCAAGAGACATTCATGCATCTTCGACGGCACACCCTCGTGCACGAAACGAGTAGAGTACGTAGAGAGGTAGGTATATGTAGGCAACAAGATCGTGCGCAGTCGTACTGCACTGTACTGCGCACGACTAGGAGTCTTTCGAGAGCACGTCGTTGATGAGCAGCCACTTGGTCTCGTCATCGATGCAATTGAAGAGCACTACGCCGTTGGGCGGCCCGGTCGCAAGGTACTGGCTGAACTGGAGCTTCTTGCGCGCCGGCAAGTGGTGGCCGAGGATGAAGAACGTCTTGAGCGCACGCTCGAGCGGCGTGAGCGCTCCTATCGGTGACGACGGCGACGGCGGCGGTTCGTGCTTGGCGGGTTGTGGCATGAGCGACGTCGCGTGCATTGGAAGGTGGTGCCGGGGCACGATCGTCTGGTGGTGCGGCGCCGCGGCCGCAACCGCCGCAGCACTCAGACTGCTCTCGGCGTGCACGAGCGCGTCGATGCGCGACGCCTTCTGGATGTTCGAGTTGAGGAGGTCGTGCGCGGGGCGCTTGCGCGGCGCGGAGCGGCGCGGCGTGTCTTCGTCCGTGTCAGACGAGTCGCCGTTGTCGCCGGGCACGACGTCGCCCGACAAGATCGCGTCGAGCTCGGCAAAGAACGTCAGCGGCGCCGACCTACATGCTACATGAGCCCTCTGCATGGACCACGTTCATGAGCGCAGTACCTATACTGGAGCGCGTCCGGGTACTTGGCCGTAAAGTCGTTCCAGACGGTTTGTGGCGCCACGGGTAAGTTGTGCTCGTTGTCCCAGCTAAACTCGGGGTGTGTCTTGAGCGCCCTGAAGATGGCGTGGCGCTTCTTCAGGATCGTCCATCGGCTCTGGAGCTGGCTCTTCTGGTAGTTGAGACCAAGCGTGCTGTTAAAGTATTTGAGGAGGTTGTGCCAGCCGTCCTTCTTGAGACCGCCGCTGCCCGTCGAGCGCCCTAGCAGAGGCCGTGGGCGAGGGGGCGGGGGGACCGCTGGACGTACCCTTGTGCATGCCCGCGACAACCTGCGCATGGAAGCCTTCGATGAGGACGCCGTCGCGGTCGTCGTTCCACTGCGCCGAGAGCGTGCTTGTCATGCTCGACCACACACTTCCAGTGGAAGAACCAGGTATACACTGGATCCCAGCATCCGGATACAGTATCTGGAAATTCGAACTTCAGTTTTGGAACACACAAGAGCGACCGCGTTCCCGCCATTTGCAGTCTTTGTGGCGACGAGGTCGTGATGCGAGGAACTTGGTGATGTTGCCTGGTGCTCGTCAAGCACAGTACGTCCGCTAACGAATTCTTTGCGGTTTCACGAAGTCTCTGGCGCTGACTCGGGGCACGCAAAGGATAATCCTCGCCGTGTTGCTCGACAACGCAGGCATCTAGAGCACAAGCACTTGAACGCATTTGCTCCACTCTCAACTGTCAACTCGTGTAGCTCGTCTCCATTGAACCCAGCTGCGCATTCGCCTGGAAAGGTAACACACGTATTCGTTGGCAGTTTATAGAGCAGTACACACTAAGCTTCGTTGCCGTGTGACTCCATGATCCACATGGCCATCGACTGCAGCATCGCACTGTCAAAGCGCGCCGCGAGATGCGGGTGCTCGATGCGCATCTTGGCAAGCGCCGTGCGGTCGAGGTAGAAGAGGAAGCACGGGCTCTTCGTCTCGGCCGTGAGGTTGTGGCGGTTGTTGAGGACCATGTCGACGTCGCCGAGCCACGCGCCGTGGGTGACACGCACGATGCGCTTCCGACCCTCAAAGCCCATGTACTCGTGGATGTCCCGCGGTACGAAGACATCGACTTGGCCCTTCCCGACAAGGTACACACCTTGCACTTCGTCACCACTTTCGTAAATCCGCTTCCCTGCTGGCTCCTTGGACGTCACAAAGTACGTCTGGAGAAGTGCGTCATCGAGCTTGGCGTCGTCGCACGTCGGTGGCGGCAGGAAGCTCTCAAGGAGCGGCGTCACTTTGCCCTTTGCAAAGTGGTACTGCATTTGGTCCAAGATCGGCGTCGCGCCATTCATTTGCAGAAGCGTGTCTTCGCACCACTCGATGGCCATCTCCATCGTATCAAAGACGCTCGACTGCGCTAGCACGTCGTGGAGCTCAAACATGCCGCGCACCGAGGCAGGCAGCGCCGCAAAGACGAGCGTGATGCCGTGCGCCATGAGGTGCTCCTTCGTGGCCGTAAAGCAGCTGCGGACCGCCGTGACGTCCACGCCGCGGACGCGCTCGAAATCCAGCACGACGAAGCGCGTTCGGACGGTCGGCACGTGCGCATAGCTTCGCTCGAGCACATCGGTCGTCGTAATGTGCTTGCGGACTTGGTTGAGAATCGCGACGGAACTCCCAAAGAAGACAAACCCGTCGAGCTCGAGCATGACGATCGCCGACCGGACTTGATACAGAAGCGCACGTTCGCGCAGGTCGCGCTTCACGAGGCTCTGGCGCGCGACGCGGCGCACGACCGTCGACTCGACGTACGACAAGATAAAGTTGATACCGGCGGCGGCAATCCCAAGCACGATACCGGCCTCGAGGTTCCAAAAGTTCATGATGAGAAACGTAAACCAGAGGATCGCGTATTCGGCCCAGAGCATGCTTTTCTTGGCGTGGACGATCCACTCCATGACGAGGTCGATGCCAATGAGCGCGTTGAGCGAGCCGAAAAACAGCTTGGGGACGTACGCGATGATCGAGAAGGGGCTAAGCACCAATGCGATTTCAAGCGCAAAGATGAGACCACCCGTCCAGCGACTGTCGACGCCCGACTTCATCGAGAAGATCGTCGACGAAAAGATGTACGACCCGGTAAAGCCACCCGTGAGACCCGACACGAGGTTGGACCACCCGACGGTTTGGAGCTCGGCGTTGTGATCGAGCGGCTTGTGCAGCGCCATCTCGATGGCCGCAACATCAAGCGATGAAGAGAAGGCCACAACAAAGTACATGGCGATCCATGTCGGGATCTGCGGCGTGAGCACTTCGGCGTGAAAGAGGTCAGTGTGAAAGTGCTTGTACATGTCGGCCACCGAGAGCGTGCCGTTGGGCAGCGCCGCGATCCAGCCAAACGCCCGCGCGTCTTCAAAAGATGAGCCCGAGATGACCATACCGAGGTAAAACACGACAAGGATCGAGAGCATACACGTCGGGAGCACCGCAAAGTGTCGAATACGCTGTGTCATGACAAAGAGGAAGATGCCTCCGACGACGCCGGGTGCACAGAGAAGCATCGACTTGGCGTCTGCGAGCTTGTGCCAGTCGAGGATGGACGTGATTTCCTTGGACGACATCATCGAGAGCCCGGCTTCAAAGCAGTAAAAGCCGATAAACGAGAGATACCCACCGACAACCGGCATCGGGAGGTACTGGACAAAACTCGCGAGCTTGAGCTTGCCCGTGATGATGAGCGCGACACCGAGGAGCGCGGTCGAGCCACAGAGCGTCCACAGCGTCGTCGACAAAATATCTTCCATCGTCACGGCGTCGTTGGAGGCCTTGAGGATCGAGACGATCGACGTGGCCATCGCCGAGAGGAAGATGAGGCCAGCGTCTTGGACTTGGCCGACCGCGAACGGCAGCGTGCTCGAGAGCGAGAAGCAGAGCTGATGCACGGCGCCTGAGCAGAAATGGTGCGTTAGGCGAGAAAATGCAGCAAAGGATCAACGTACCGGACACCATTGTAAGCTTGACGAGCTCGGACAAGAATGGCTGGAAGACAGGGTCCCGAAAGATGATTTGGGCAAAACTACAGGCAACACGACGTGAGCTCCGCGCAGTAAGTACACGAGGGTAAATCACCTGATCATGAGAGGCACGAGGATGATGGCGTTCACAAGGCCATAGAGACCGACCTTGAAGTATTTGTCCGATGCATCCGTGGGCGCGTCGTCTACGACAGCGATCGACGTCTTGGGTGCACCATGCTGGAGGAGCGGCAGCGACTCTTCTTCGTCCCGGTAGCTCTTCCAGCGGCTGAGCTCGTTGCGCGGTGTGCGGGCGGTCGCGCCAACGCTGTCCATTCTTGTCACGGGTGGTAGAAGGTAGAAAGAGTCGTTGTGAGGAACACCCGGCCCGGGCTCCTCAGCGTCGTCGATCCCAGCGCTTTCCTGCACCGCTTCTCATTGGTCATGCACCTGGTTTGTCACATGATATGTATGGAAATGATTGGCTACAAGCTTGGCCAATCCCAAACAGGTGGGCTTTGCACGGACGCCGCGCGAATCTGCCGTGTGATTGGCGATCGTCATGCGGACCCATGTGGCCATTTGAGGCGCCGTGGTACACTCAAGTTGAACCAAATGGGCAATCTGGGTGGCCAGGACCAGAATTGAGACGCGACAGCTGCCCCAGAAAATTACAATTGTAGCTCAAGATTGGACGCCTCGCAGCGCCACGCAGATCGGCGACGGTATCTTCAGCAGCCAAGCTTGGAACCTGGGTGCATGACGTGGCAAGCGGGAAGAGCGAATGCGAGGTGATACTCACAGCGCCTATGGTAAACGTGAGCACTGGTATGTCTGCTTTGGCAACGAACAATGGCAGCCAACGGTGGAGTACGTCTCGTACGAGGAAGTGGCTGGCCTAGTTGCGATCGATTTCGAGTCTTCTCTCTCATGCGACGACAAAGAGTTCGTGGTACCGGTAGCTGTGCTTTGTCAACAAAGGACGTACTAGTACCAGCTAACGTTAGTGCTTTAGTCGTCGAATATGTGGACTGTGCCAACTTTTTCACTTGTTGTCCGCGTTGCCACATGCGCTCCACAGTGCTCTTCCGCCAGATTGCTATCTCTCTATTATCGAAATAGTACGATGTATTGGCTCGGGAGGCAGGACACCGTTATGGCACGATAGGGTTCAGGTATGCAAGCGTTGCGCATGATCAATACAACACCTCGTTGAACTCAGACCAAGTACGAGTAGCACAGCTTGATGAGCGAGTGCTGATTTATGGAGCTAGCTCGGGAAAGGGCAATGATATGAAAACGCAATGGTACCTTGGCATTTCGTTTGTACCAAAATGACAAAAAGTCCGTCTCCAGGAAGGCAATGAGAAAAGAATGCTCGGAAAGCGTGTGATGGCCAAACAAATGGCCGTGGAACTGCCTCATCAGGGGCGAACCCCTGTGCCTCGTATACACTACCATACAGCTCGTGTACTTGGAAACGGGGCGAACGTTATAGCGCTTCCATCTGCCATCAACAAAACCCTAATCATTGAATGGGACGAGGCACAACTCGGGGAAGTGAGCTCTCCGTCTCTGTGTTGATGAAGCTCGCCGAACCAATGCTCACCGCGGTCCAATAGCCTTCGTGATTGTGTTCGTCTCGATATTTCGCCGACGCGTTTTGCTGGTGCCAAAAACCTGGCTCAAGCGGTGGCGCTCGAGTGTTCCGCTACACGTACCTCCTCGACCCTCAGCTTCGCGAGAGCTCCGTCAAAATTTACTCGACAGTGCACCCTCTACGCGCCCAAGCGGGCAAAATAAGAACGTATAGCGTCGAGATAAACAACGCCAACAGCACCTTGCTTACAAGGGCTCAGCGCAAAGCGTTCGATTGGGTCCAGAAGTGAGATGTGAGTTGCTGGGCGGTTCGATCGAACCCAGGTCGTCGTCGGACTCAAACTCCAACGCAACTGCAACAACATGCTCAAAAAGATGCTCGGTTCCTTTCCCGCTCCAAAAAGGACAAGTGCGCACCTGACCCGCCACGACGAGCAACGCTGGTCTTCACGGTGTCAAGACCACACGAGGACAGGAAGATGCGAGTACGACGCGACCGTAGCAGCATGTCCCAAGCCCTTCGCGCCTTTGGCTCTCAACTATCCAGATCACCTTGGCTTGTCTCCTGCACATCGCTCCTTCTAATGCATACAAACATCCATATATTAAAATAAACCCCTTCCGCATCCGTCGGGCTCTCCTGAAGCGCAATCGGATTGGTCCAGAGGCGTGATATAAAAACTGTTCGAAGCGTACAAATAGAATAAAAGAACCTTGCTGTTTGTATGCGACGACGCGTCATACAATAATATTTAAACAAATACGCGTCGCATAGCACAGTTGAAAGCCAAGATATCAGTCCACTCTCGAATTTGCCCCGTGTGGCCCGGAAGCAGCAGCGATGGACAGCGTCGGCGCCACGGCCCGGACGCCCAATGCCATGAGTCGCATGCGCAAGAGCTACCGCCTCGACGACGAGAAGCTGCCCATCCTCCACGACAAGATCCAGGTCAATGCGTCGACCTTTGCCATGGACGAGGAGCCGGCCTCGAGCAAGTACCTCAAGGTTGGCCTCTACGGCGTCATCAACGCCATCATCCTCGTGCCCCTCATGATCAGGTACGGCTGACATACTGCATGCCTCGGCGTAGTTGCTCATTCGACCACCGTATAGTTTTGCCCAAATCATCTTTCGCGATCCGGTCTTCCAGCCGTACCTCTCCGAGCTCGTGAAGCTTACGATGGTGTCTGGTACTCCTGAATGAAGCCGGTCGCCTCTATAAGCTCATATTGATCTATTTAGGCGCGGTGCACCAGCTCTGCTTTTCGCTCTCGAGCACGCTTCCGTTCGCGGTCGGCCAAGTCCAAGATGCTGGCCTCATCTTCCTCTCAGCCATGGCCAGCTCCATCGTGCACTCGCTCCACGCCTCGGACGATGTCTTTTCGATGGAGCAGATTTTGGCCACGACGCTCTTTACGCTCAGTGGCTCGACTGCGCTTCTCGGTGTGGCGCTCGTTATCACGGGCAAGCTCAAGCTCGCGAGTTTCGTTCAGTACCTCCCGATGCCCGTCGTCGGTGGTTACTTCGCGTTCATTGGCTTCTTTTGTCTCCAAGCCGGTCTCTCGATGATGTCGGGTCACGAGATCAGCAACTTGCTCGACTGGGGCGAACTCGCCAACACGAAGGCCGTCATCTTGTGTCTTCCGGGTCTCGCTGCCGGCGTTTTCCTCTTTGTCGTGACGCAGCGCGTCAAGCACTTTGCAGTCCTCCCCACGTGCATGTTTACGATCGTCTCGCTCTTCTACTTTGGCATGCTCGTGTCGGGCTCGTCCTTTGAAGACGCGCGTCATTACGGCTGGATCGCGCCGCTTCCGAATGGCACCATGTCCTTCTTTGACATTTACAAGCACTTCCAGATCGACCACTTCCACGGCGAGTTTGTCACGGACCAAATCCCGACGTGGATCGCCATGTACTTTGTCGTGGCGTTCTCGTCGTCGCTCGATGTTGCGGCCATCGAAATGGCGCTGCAAAAGCCGCTCGACCACAACGCCGAGCTTCAAACCGTCGGGTGGTCCAACCTCGTGTCGGGTCTTACAGGCGGCTTTACCGGGTCGTACATCTTTTCGTCGACGATCTTCTCGATGAAGTCGGGCGTCGACAGCCGGCTCACGGGCCTCCTCGTCTTTGTGCTCGAGCTCGTCCTCGTCGCGAGTCCGTTCTCGATCATCGCGTACGTTCCCAAGCTCTTCTTTGCGTCGCTCCAGACGCTGATCGCGGTCGACCTCATCATGGAGTGGCTTATCCACGCCCGCAAGAGCATGTACCCGCGCGAGTACGCGATCGTGTGGTTCACGTTCCTCGTCATGATCCTTTGGAACCTCCAGGGCGGCATCGTCCTCGGTATCATCGGCGCTGCCTTCAACTTTATCTTGTCGTACGTCAACACGACGACGGTCCGCCGCGTCTGGAAGCAGAGCCACGTCAAGCGCCGCTTCAAAGACCGCAAGGCGCTTCTCAAGTCGCGCGGCTCGATCGTGACGCTCGAGCTCGACGGGTACATCTTCTTTGGGAGTTCGGTGCACATCATGTCGGAAGTGCGCAAGCACGTTCTGCTGACGCCGACCGAGCTCATCTTGCACCAGAGCATGCGCAGCATTAGCTCGAGCGTCCTCCGCACGCCGCGCTTGACGACGCCCAACGTCCACAGCGACAACTCGCGCGCGCTCATGACGATGGAAGAAATGACCGACTACCTCAGCGAGTACACGTCGGACTCGCCGATCCCGGCGCTCCGGACGCGCTTCCTCGTCCTCGACTTTGACCGCGTGCGTGGCATTGATGTGACGGCCGTCTCGACGTGCTTCAACGCGATGAAGCAGCTCCTGGTTGAGAACGGCATCTGCATGGTCTTCTGCAACCTCCCGGACGATGTCGAGGGCATGTTCCGCATGCACGACATCTTTGACGACGAGACGAAGGACGCGAGCGAGTTCCCGACCAAGATTTTTGAGACGCTCGACTTGGCCATGGAGTTTTGCGAAGAAAACTTGCTGTCGCAAAACAGCCGCCCGACGCGCTTCGGGGCCCAGGACTCGCTCCGCATTGCACAGAACGGTCTCCCGATGGACCTTCTCAACACGCTCCTCCCGCATGATGCGGACCCGGCCGCGCAGATGACGGAAGCCATTGGCTACGACTATGTCGAAGTCTTTACGCGCGAGAAGAACGACATTATCTACCAGTGCGGCCAGGACGTCAACGGCTTCTTCATGGTCGGGAAGGGTCTCGTCGATGTCTACCTCCCGCGCAGTGCGCATGAGCGCATGGGCCCGGGCTTCAAGGGCCGGAAGCGCATCATGCAAGTGACGAGCGGCGCGCTCATGGGCGACGTCGACCTCATCTTGAACAAGAAGCACTCGTTCACAGCCGAGGCCAAGTCCGAGTGCTCCATCTTCTACGTAAGCAAAGCAGCTTTCGAGCAGCTCAAGATCGACCACCCTGCGGTCGCTGCGCGTTTCGAGAAGGCCATGATGCGCTCCATGGCACTCTGGATCCTCGAGTACCGCGTCTCGGACCAATAGGATGTACTCGTCGGCTATAAACTCGAAAATTCTAGCGTCCATCGTTTTTGTCATCAAATCGGCCCAATATTTATTCCCTGAATGCTCATGCAACGACGCAAGAGGCAATCGACCCCGTCATGGAACCAGCCGTCATGCATGCGTAGAGCTGCCTGTGCCACGTTGTCGAACTCATACAATAGCATACCAAAGTCGAAGGAGAGCGCCAACCACGAGTAGTTTTGGCGCCAAGAGTGTGGAAGTCGCGATCTTTCCGCCCAAAATAGGAAACCTCTATGAATGGATACTGTATTTGATTAGGAAGGTTTAAAGTTGCATACAAATATCAAGTATTTTTCCAACGCGCGCCCGACGGAGCATAATTTCAAGTTGCCCGCGCGCGGGGGATGCTGAGGTACCGCCGGCCGACGACCGCGCGGAAGGGCCTGCGCGACGCGACCAACGACATGAAGCGACCCGCGCCAGGAGGAGGGAAGGAGGATGAGCCGTCCAAGACCCGGGGCTTCGAGGTCCCGATGAGCAAGAAGCGGCGGCTCCAGGTGGACGACGCCCCATCGCGGCCCATGACTACGGACCGACGACCGCTCCACGACCCGCGCGATGCTCGAGGTACCAAGCACGGTATCGAGATCTACGAAGACCCGCGGGAAGACGTCGTCTCGAGTCGCCCGCCCTCGTCGGAGAACGGCTTGGTCACGAGTCTCTTCCAGAGCGGCCGCGGGAAGAGCGTGCTCCTTCCTGCCAAGAAGATCCAGGAGTACGAAATCAAGCTGTCAAAGCCCAGTGAAGACGAAGGCAAGGCCTTGGCGCCCGACACCGATCAAGCCCAATCGGCTGACCATCGACAATCCACGGCCGACGGCGCGGCGCCAGGAGCGCTCGTGTCCAGTTTGTTCCAGACGGGAAGCGGCCGCGCCGTGCAAGTCTCTGCCGAGAAGCTACGAAGCTACCAAAAGCAGCTCGAGGCCGAAGCTGCGAACGAGGAGACGGCCCGGGACGAGCCAAGTAGCAGCCGAGAAAGCATCGAACCCGCAGCACCTGCGATCCCGAGCCTTTTCCAGACAGGACGCGGACGGCATGTGCAAGTGTCCGCGGACTTGACCGCCAAGTACCGCGCATCATTCGAAGCAGCAGCGCCCGATGCCAGCAACGAGCAGGGGGAAGCACTGCCACCAATGAAGCGCTCGGTGGCTGCACCATCGTCCAGCGGCGGCGTCACAAGTTTATTTTCAACGGCAGCGGGAGCATCCGTCAAGATCTCGGCAGCCAAGGTCCAGCAGTACCAAGAAGCGCTGTCTCGTGAAGTGACAGGCACCGACGTGGACTCGGCAACAACTGCCGAGCAACCAATCGTTCAATCATTGTTCGAGACCGGCGCAGGCAAGCACGTGCACGTGTCCGCCGCCGTCGTCCAGCGCTACCAGCAACAGTTTGCCGCGAGCGACGACAATGAAGTTGCTCCCTCGGCCGCTGCGGACGGCTCCGAGACCGTCGCCAGTTTGTTTCAAACAGGGGCTGGACACAAGGTGCATGTATCGGCAGACAAGGTCAAGGCGTACACTAAGGCGTTCCAAGCCGACGCCGCTTCCTCATCCACTCATGATGCCGATGCAGTCGCACCAGAAGAAGAAAACGCGTTGAGCCTGTTCAGCACCGCCAGTGGTCGCAACGTCACGGTATCAGCCGAGAAGACCAAGGCGTACGAGCGTCTCTTTGACGCCGACACACCCGCAGACAATGATGTGATGGCACCCAAGGAGGCCCGCGACACGACTCCCAGCTTATTTGCCACGGGCAGCGGACAGCAAGTCGACGTCTCGCGCCAAAATGTCCGTGCGTATGAAGCCAAGCTGCAACGCGACGACTCAGCTTTTGTGGCTCTGCCGACGGAAGAAGCTGGACCGTGGCGTCCTTCTGGATCGGATGAAATGCTGACGACCAAGCCAAACCCGCAGCGTCGCGTAACGTTTGCTCCCGGTGATATGCCTCGGGTCGCAGAGAACCCTGTACCTCGCTCAGCTGCAGCGAAGCCGGCGATGTCATCTACCAACAACGGTCGTCGGGCCTTCCAACCGCCGCGCCGCAAGTCGATGCCCGCGCCGTCAGTTGTTGCCCTCGAGCTCGGTGTACCCAAGCCCAAGCCCAAGGAGATCGTTGTTCAAACCAAGTCCAAGTACAAGGCTCCAAAGATGACAACAGTCTCATTTCACGACTTGCATCCGTCAGCCTCGCCGGCCACGAGCGTATGTGTCGACGCTATCACGGCGTCCAACGCCCTTTTGGTCCACTTTGGGCCCCACGGCAACCCAACTCTCGTTCCGTCGTTCGGAGCCTCCTCTGTGCACCTTTTGTACGCAACGATGGTCTCGAACCAATTCATTAAACCAGCACTTGGCGCGACGCTGCCTTGGTTTCTCAACCACTTTCGCTGGATTGTCTGGAAGTGCGCGAGCATGGAGCGCACGTTCAGCGCAGACCTGGCGGGGAAATACCTTACCCTCGATCAAGTCACGTTTCAGCTCACACGACGCTTTCAGCGTGAACTTGAGGTTTGGATACGGCATCCGCTATGGCTAATCTTCGTCATAGCAAAGCCACCGGTCCGTTCTCAGGAAGATCTACCAGCGCGATGCGCACTCGGGCAATGCAATGGTCCTTCTCGTCGTTGCCACGTACCCGACGCATTGGGTGCTGAGCGACGGGTGGTACGCCGTCTTTGCATTGCCGGACGAGTACCTGCTCGGGCGCGGCAACAAGAGCCTCGTCGGCGTCAAAGTCATTGTCTGGAACGCTAGCTTGATCAACTGCAACGAAGGAATTGACCCGCTCGAGTCGTCGATCCACGAGTCGCTCGACATGGCGTTCGACCCAAAGGCACACGCCCATCTCTCAATCAATGCCAACAGTACGCGACGGGTTCATTGGCGACTGCCCCTCGGTTTGGAAGACCGCCGTACGTCTACACCACATTTTGAACATTCGAAGTCGTGTGTGAACATGCGAATACACTAGGAAAACACCAGCTGCTTCAGAGTCTGCCATTGGGATCGCTCAAGCAACGCGGCGGTCTCGTGCGATCCCTCCGTGCCGTTGTCATGCGCTCATCGGGCCTTCTCTACTTGCAGCCAAAAGATGCAACGGGGCCGCGCGTCCTCACGGAAAAGATGATGGAGAAGTTCCCGCAGGCATTCGAGACGGCGGTGCCGTTCTTGCGCCTCAAGGTCGCATGCTCACACCCGTCCCATTCCGCTTCGCGCCATGCGACGCTAAGCGTGTGGCGGCCGTCCGAAGACGTTCACATTGTGTGCAAGGAAGGTGCCGAGGTCTTTGTGACGAGCGTGGCTGTGACGTGGAGTGCCGAGAAGAAGGATGCTGAGCTCAACCTGAGCACGTCCAAACACTCTACGTTCACGCGCAGCACGGCGGACGACCTTGCACTTGTCCACGCCAGAGTGGGGTATGCGCCGCGAACGTGCATGTCGATTGCGGACATTGGACCGACGTACATTGGCGACGCCGACGTCTGCGTTTACGTCATCCGCCTCTCGGAAGACAAGTCGCATGCGTTTGTGACCGATACGAGCCTCAAGCTCCTGAGCATCCGGCTACCCGTGGCACCAACCAAGGCTGTTCTCAAAATGTGGCAGGTACAAAAATCCCATCTAAAATCTGGCGCCTCACCATGACGTCCCGAGTAGAAGGGTTCGATCGTGTGCGTTCGAAATCTCCTCGTGTCGCACTATGACGAAGGCCTCGGTCTTCTCGATTCGGTGCTGACCGACACGGCGGAAGCAACGACGCAGCCGTCCAAGACGTCGTACTTTGCCACCACCTTTGAGCAGCTCAAGCTTTCGATTGCCAACGGCGTCAACCAGACCCTCATTCACGCGCTCGACGCGTACATCCTCTCGTCCATCTTGCACACCGTTGCGACCCAAGAGGCCATGATGACCCAAGACGACACCGGTCTGGACGTCGACATACCCGACGACGTGAAGGTTGAAGCCATCGAGGCACATGACATGACGATCGAAGGCCACCCGATGCATGTGGAACAGCTTCCAGACTCGGAGGACTATGGCGCAGTCGTCAGCGTCGACGTCGGCACGCGACTGTACGACGTCTACTTGCCCCGCACCGTGTGCGACCAGGCCACGGACCTCTTTGCACCCAACATTGGTCTGCTCTTGATCCGGCTCAATGTCAGGGTGCAGACAGACGACGTGAGCAGCAATAGTTGCCGACGCTGGGAGGTTGCGCATGCGACGAAGCTTGTCGCAGTCTCGGCCAGCATCGACTCGCCGACCGACCGCATCCGGGCGTTGCTGGAGGCGCTGCAAAGTTGAGTAACGTAATCGAATTGCAGCGTACTACTTGTCTCTCTACATTTGGGTTTGGGATCTCTACGACTTAGGCGTTGACATCGACCCACTTGGTCGTCTTGCGATGCTCGCGGGCGAGGATGCTTGCCAGCTCATGGTCGGCCAGCGTAACATCGTCGACGTCAAAGTGCTGCTGCAGGTGGTGGTTGAACGACTGGTAGAGTACGTCACGCGACGCCACGTAGTCCTTGAGCTTGCAGAGGAACTCGGTGTGGTCGCGCTTGGCGCGGTAAGCGGGCTGCTTGGCCGGGTTCTGGAGGTAGCGCATGTTGGCCGCGCTGTAGTCCCAAAGAAACGACGTGTGATGAAGCCACCGGTCCTTGCTAATGCCTACGCGCACCACCGTTTCTACATGTCGCCACTTCCTGCATGGCACGTACTCTGCGCATTGCCAGCAAACTTGCGGTCGCCAAAGACATAGTCGTCTTCCCGCAGCGCAAACGACTGAAAGTAGGTTAGCATCCATGTATGCGAGCCAACGGGATACTACCTCGGTGTGCTTGGTGATGTCATCGAAGAGCGGCGTGAAGAAGGTGGAGGACCAGTCCATGATCTCGCGCGGGTATGGCTTCACCTGCGGCTTGGCGCTCTACCCAGCGACGATCGCACCGGTGGAGATCAACGAAGAAGGCGGTACCGTGTTGACGATGAAGGTCGTAAAGAGCGTGTTGTCGTCGATGACGACGGTGCCTCCGCCGCTGAAGCGCTTGATGACCGGGACCTTGTCTCTACGCTCGCAGCGATACAGAGGATGATCATGCGCGACATCTACCTGGCGACAGCTTCAACGTCGAGGAGCTTCTCGGGCTTCCCGGAGATGCCCATGACGATCTTCGGATCGCCGGTCCGCTCGTTCCAGATGAACCAGTTGTCGCGGTCCGCGCGGAAGAGCGCTTCCTCAAGCACGAGCTGGTCAAAGATCGAGACCTTCTGGAGGCGCAGGACGCGGAGCTTCGGCAGCACAGAGGCTCGCATTTCGGCAATTGCCACCTCTCCGCATGATGGCATTTCATATCCGGATTCTACACAGTCGTAAAATCGACGCTTTTTGTTTTGAAAGCAGTATCGTTTTTTCTCCTTTTTTACAGGATTGATTCTTGAATAATATATTTTGTGATAATAAAAGATCGACATAAATTGCAAAAGCGATACGTAAACGATGCAAATACGCCCGGGGCACAACTTGAAGCGCTAACCGGTGGTACAAAAGCACGAGATCGATCGAAGCTACACGAAGGATGGCAGCAGCAGACAAGGGATGGATGCCCTTGGACATCGACTTTACGACGACGGCTGATGAGCTCAAGGTACGAATTGCTATTTACGACAAGCTCGCAATGGGCCGAGGATCAGAAGGCAGTGAATACGGTCCTACGTAGCTCGGTATCGCCAAGATGCCGGCGGCGTGGACGCTCTTCCTTCTTGGCGATGGATCACCGACGCTCCACTTGGGTCTCTTGACAGGGTACTGCGTCACTTCACCTATGTTGCGAGCTTCTTTAACTGCGCGATGCCTTCCTATAGGTATACGACGGAAGTCGACGTCTTGAGCTTTGACTGCATTGGCGACTCGCCGGACCAAGCGCCCACCGAGATCCAGGATATTGAAGGCCCGCGCCATCGTCGTCAAGTCTACCTACGCAACACAAACGGCGAGCGCCTCGGCTATGCGGCGTCGTGGTGGCACAGCAGCGATGTACCCACTGTGCACCACTTTCATTTGGATGCTCAGCGCCAACTAGATCGAAGCGCTCTTTGGTACGGACAAGACGCTGCCGATCGGCCGTCAAATCACGACCAAGAAGAAGGAGCTCTTCCGCGACATCAAGCATATCTTTCGTGGCCACTCGGTTGCGCTCGAGAAGGAGTTTGGCATGCAGGGACCGTTCTGGGGCCGCTCGTACCTCTTCTGGCAAGGCGGCCGGCCCATCACGCTCATTTACGAAGTGTTTTCGCCGCGCCTCGAAAAGTACTTGGGCGAAATTGACGTACCAGCACGGGACGCCGTCGCAGGCACGAGCACGAGCAGCTCGTAGTCGGTAGTTGGAGACGTCAAGACGCAATCAAGGCCACATTGTGTTTTTCTATTCTGCTTCTTCGTCCTGTGCTTCGTCTTCTCTGTCTGTATACACTAGAAAGCGACATGGACGTCGACTTCGCTGCTTGGCTTAGAGAGACAGGCGCTTGCGGCCCTTGAGGAAGCGGTTGTTGAGGACCTTGCGGCCGCCGAGCGACGCCTTGCGCACACGGAAGCCGAACTTGCGCTTTCGTCGTAATACACTAGGCTGGTACGTGCGCTTGATCGCAAGGATCGGGCCCATCGTGTCGTTCATCTCGGGGCACTCCATGACCGTCGGGATGATCATCGACGTCGTCGGGACCTGCGGGATTGTCATGCCGAAGCTGGCCTGGATCGGCAGCACGCTTTGAGAAGGCGCGAACATGTCGAACGTGCTCATGCTACGGACGGGCGCCAGCGAGCGCGGGACGGCCACGGCGCGGAGGAAGGGACGAGCGAACCGAAGCATCTTCTCTTTTGAACCAGCCAAACGAGGCCCACCCCTGTGGACGCGCTCTGATTGGCTGAAATGCGAGTGAGGCCATTCGCCAAAATGCCACATGATTTTAGCCAATGGCATCTATATTACGTCGCGCCGCACAAACAGGACGACCACGATGGTGGCGACGACGGCCTGCAGGCCTAGAGCTCACTGCCATACGTAGGGTGCATCGTCCGACCAAACCGTGGGCGCGATCCTCCTCGCCATCTCCGTGAGCATGTTTGCGTACTACACGCTCTGGGTCATCATCACGGTAGGAGTCTCACAAACCTTAGTTCATTCGACTGACCCAGCACTGCACAGCCCTTTGTCGACAAGGACCATGTCGTGCAAGGCTTCTTCCCAGACCGCCATTACGCAATTGCAATTCCTGCGATCCTTCTCGTCATCTTCTTGACGATCTGCTCTACGTTCATCGGTTTGGTCATGATCAAGTCGAAACACACCAAGGAAGAGTAGCTACAAATGACGAGCGTCTTGCTTTCAATCGTGCTGGCTACGAACTCGCCGCCTTCAAGTGACCTCTGCTGCATCGCTGTCAGTGGTGGATGCATATGATGATGTGTATAGTATTGACGGTCTCTAACAGGCTTATTGCAACGCTTCAGATAGCGAGGGCGCGTTCGGGTCTTGGTAGCCCATGTTGGCAATCTGGATCGCAGAAAAGCCCTGGGCCTTGAGCGACTGCACGCGGAGGGCCTCCATCTCCTTAACGTCGGCTTCGCGCATGATCTCAATGCCGAGCGGGATGACCGTGAACAGCATCGTCGTCGAGATGATCCACGTGAAGCGGCCGCCCTTGTGCGCCAACTAGCATTGCACAATGTCATCACCAGCCTTCATATTGCGTGCCACAATGGCGAGCGTACCTTGATCAATTGCTTCTTGAACCACGTGGCCCACTCGCCGGCCTGCTTCATGCGCTGCATCATCATAGCCTAGGCAAGCTTTAGCATGTGGGCTGATGCATCAATCATGCGTACATGGAGGCCGCCCGTCGCGGGGGCTTGCTGCTGCTGTTCGAGCTTGCGCAGGGCGCTGATCGCAGACATCGCCAAGTCAACGAAAAGAGATGAAGAATGGAAGTTCGAGACCAGTTATTTTCAACACCAAATGGTGTGAAAGGTAAGTCATGAAATAGAGTACTTTGGGATTGCGAGATATTTAAATATTGCATAGAATATCAAAGTTCGACTGACGTATTTCTAAATGATAGAAATGCCAACAAATAGTGTCGGATTGATTTGGTGGGGGGAATAAAAACACCAACGACGACGTATGCCACGGGTTGTATTTTTATGCGAGGGAGAGACAGCCACGTCATGGACTAAATGGACGCCACTTTACGGCGGATCCTTCCGGAAGGTCGCCAGCGCAACTCCGATGCCGGCGCCTGCACTGCTACTTCATTGCCCAGGGCAACGCACTAGTATGCAACGAGGCGCCACGTACTGAAGTCTGGTTGGATTTGAAACATCTGCAAAGGCGTACAAGGACGCCCTCTGCTTGCTTGCTCGAGTTGCTCGAGTGATCAGTTGTTGCGTTCAAACATCCATGTCACCTATGATAGGGTTCAACCTCAGTTGATTGACGAGCGCAGCTCGTTTGTGCAAAGTTTTGTGAGTGCGGCTCCCTTGGTAGCTGCCTGACCTCTGGGTTACTAGATGTTCAATCAACCGAATCGTTCTCGACTAGAATGTGAGGATCCATATTCGCTTTGCGGTGTTGAAGTGGCGGTATCTCGATTTATGATCGGCGTCGGCAAAGTGTCCTTGCAATAGTTTCTTGCGGAGAACGGCGCTGGTTGTATTGGGGTCACCAAGGTGCTCCTTCCTATGATAGGGTGTTTTCGTAGAGCACGGCAACTGGACACACCATGGGTACCTATGAAGGGAATCTCTCGGGTTGCTCCTTGCCCTTCCAGCGATACCGGTACATCAGCCCTACCCCGTGACCACAGGGAATTTCCTTGCCGTGGCGTGCTGCTGACGTTGCATCCCAGTGTGGCTCCTGCAGTTAGCTGTAGCGGGTTCCTCACTGTACTGCTCTCTGCAGCACCGTTTTACAAAGCCATGCGTGCGATGCGATATACAGGGTGTTCCTCGAGCACACGTGGATACTGAATCCAGCCGAGACAAACGTGCACCGGTGCAGATACTTGTAGGTACTGGCACCAGTACACTCGGAAACACTTCGTTTTCCAGTGCCGACCCCGCTTGGAGTAGCCACAGTCGGCTTTCTACGGCTGGCGTAGCTGGCTTGCGTGCCCCAATGTTGCGAGTACTGTTGTTGAAGCAGTTGCGTCGTGCGATGGAGGCCACGAGTGTGCATCGGCAACTCGAATCCCACAGTCTTGGCACATCCTGCGTCCCGACGTCGATTGCTGGTTGGTGTCGACTGGATCACCGTCGTTCGACGACCAGCGCACCCTTGGGCACGAGAAACCGGGTATTTCCGCGTGCCATCATTGCTACGGTGGCAGCAGCGTGCAGCGCGACTGCGTGTTTGGCCAGCGCCTCTCGACGACGAAGACATACACGTGACGCTCTTGGGTACCTCCGGACGCGATTGGTTGAAATGACAACCCAATTGGTGCCAATGAAAGATCGTCCAAGATCGCTGGCCAAACAATAGGGGCAGGGACAATAATCTGGCATGAGCAGTATACTGCATCTAGTATACGAGTAGGTGGACTGTGTTGCGCATCGAGCCGAGTGGAGGGCGCTGGGCACCCGTGTATCGGGTAGCTGGTCAGCACCGGTCCGTGGTGAGAGGGCGGCTCTGGTCGGGCCTAAATTTGATGATATCCTAATTTGGCGCGTGTAATTCGGATGTCGTGCGTCGTCGCGAGTGATGGCCATCACTGAAAATCGGATTTCATTTGAATCTAGGATCGTCGTCCGAAAAAAAGGCGCACCATGTCAATCGCATGATGGTTGACTTCATTTCTCAAATCGAGTATGAAATCCTACTTGGCCCATGCGGTCGCGGCGTGGATAGCATGGCGCCCCGCGACTGCGCTGGACAGAGTCTTCTACGGCCTCGACTACGACGCGCGGACGTCGAGTGCCGGCGGCTGCAAGGACGACGCCGACGTCCGGCTCGACTTCCGCGCCATGGCCGCCGTGACCAGCAACGTACGCATCGACAACATGGGTGAGCCCTGCGTGGAGCGCATCCTTGGCGTCGCCGCCGAGCACAACATGCGGGTCTGGCTCGGCCTCGCGGGTGACATTGACGCCGACCTCGATGCGTTCGAGCGCGACTTCCGCACCTTCCAGCGCCTCGTCAAGGAGAAGAAGGTCCGCAACGACAACGTGCTCGGTGTTGGCGTTGCATCCGAGGCCATCTACCGCCACTACATCCAGGGCCGGCGTGACTTTGCACAACGCGACGGCTCGGACAAGCTCATTGCGTACGCAGCCAAAACGCGCGACTTTGTCCGCGCGAACGGCCTCAACTTCCCTGTGACCATCTCCGACGTCATGGACGCGTACAAGTACTCGGCCAACCTCTACGACGCGGTCGACGTGGTCTCGGCCAACCAGTTTTCGCAGTGGGAGACGATCCCGGTCGAGGACGGCGTCAACACGATGTTCGACCGCCTCATCCCGATCCGCGCGCAGGCTGTGAAGCGCGGCAAGCCCATCATGATCATGGAGACGGGGTGGAGCCAGGCCGGTCAGAACCCGAGCATCGTCGCGGCGTCGCCCGAGTCGGCGGCGCGGTACCTCAAGGACTTTTTGGCGTTTGCGGACGAGCAGAACATCCAGTACTACTACTTTACGTCGTTCAACCTGCTCTTTGGCGGCGACAACGACTTTGGCCTCATCGAGAAGAACTTTGGCGTCTTTGACGAGCAGCGCAAGATCCACCCGCTCCTCGGCGCGGTCGAGGTCGGTCCTCGCCCGGTGGCTGTGCGTCTCTGGCACAACGGCAAGGTGATCAAGGTGAACGGCGCCAACACGCGCACGTACGGCCGCGTGTACTTGGGCGAGCCCAACTACGGCCTAACCGGTCACTACGACGAAGAGATCTGGTTCTACTACGCGGAGAAGAACATGTTCAAGTCCAAGAGCAGCAACCAGTGCTTGGACACGTACGTCGACGGCGACGGCAACGACGTGCTCCATGTCTACAAGTGCGACAAAGGCAAATCGACACAAAAATGGTCGTTTGCACCGGACGGTGGCTTTGAGGTTGTCGCCGCGCCCAGCGTCGCATCGGGGCGCCGGTTTCTTCGCGGGGCGCAGTCGGAAGATCCGATGGAAGACAAGTGTGGCCACGATTGCGTCAACAACTGCCAGTTTGTCGGTGCTGGCTACACGCTCTGCTACGACGGCTGGAACCCGTACCAGTGCTCGCTCATGGGTCCGACCCACCATTGGTGCGGGGCGCCAACGCAAGCCAAGCCGGCGCGGGCGACCCGGCGACCCACCGCGCGGCCACCAACGGCAGCACCGACGACAACCGTAGCGCCGACGCCTCGGCCCACTATTCGACCAGAAACAACGGCACCGACACACGCACCGACGCACGCACCGACGCATGCACCGACGCACGCACCGACGCACGCACCGACGCACGCACCGACGCATGCACCGACACCGGCACCGACAGTAGCGCCCACACGACCGCCATCAACGCCTTCGCCAACATCCACGCCGAGCCCAGGGTTGCGGCACATGCATCCGATCGAGCCCGTGACGGCGGCGACGGGTATTCTCATTTCGCATGGTCCGTCTGCCAAGTGCATTGGCGTCGGCGACGGCACCAACATGGTGCACTTGGCTACGTGTGGCTTTGGACCGTCGACAACGTTTAGCCTCCGAGCGCTCGGCACCGAGGAGGTCTACTTGCACCAAGGCGACGCCAAGCTTGTGAACGACTACGGCCTCGTGCGCGTGAGCTCGTCGGCGCCAGCGCCAGACGCAGCCATTTGGTTCTTCGACCCGATTGCGCAGACGATTCGGAGCAAGGCGAATGGCGACGCGTGCCTCGAGCTCGTCGGGGATGTCGTCGGTGGCCTCGTCGAGACGCGCTTGTGTGACGCGCGCAATGTCATGCAAAAGTGGCTTTACAACGACCGGACGGGCCAGGTGAGTCATTTTCTCAAGGCAATCATGTGCTTGGCAACCGACAAGGCCACGCGCGGCCTCCAAGTTCGGTATTGCGACGTCCAAGACCCGCTTCAAACGTTCATGGTCGGCCTTGTGCATGCGTCTCAGACGCCGACACTTGATATCGACGATGCCAGCGATGACGACGATGTGACGCCGACAGTGACGACAAAGGCACCGATGACGTCAACGATTCAAGCACCGACGGGGGCACCGACCGCGGTAACGACGGGGGCACCGACTGCAGCAATGACCGTAGCGCCAACAACGGCGGCGCAGTTGCAGCAAAACACGAGCGCGCCACCTGAGCATCGACCGACACCAGCGCCGGACACGCCGCCTGTCGTTGCCGTCTTGCCGCATCCAGCCTCGTCACCGCCGGTTACGATGTCGCCACACCCGTCCCAAGGTTCCCTGACGACAGCACCAATGACATTGCCGATGGCCACCCAAGGGGCTTCACGGCCCACTGAAGTTGGACCGAAACAAACTGCTGCGACGCTTGAGGTCACGGCGGCACCCACTCAAGTCGCAACAACAGCTGTACCTGGAACGACGACGACGCGCGCGGCAACCACTGCACCGACAGTAGAGGCGCAGCTGTCGGTCACCGAGCCGGTCGCTCTGGAGCACACCGATCTGCCAAAGACGACCAGCGCAGCGTATCCAGTAACGTCCGATGCACCGACACCAATGGCCGTGGCCGTACCGACCCCGGCGCCATCGCATCCCAGACCAAGTGAAGCTCTGGCACACCGGACACCGGCGGTAACGAAGCCCCAACCCGCATCGATGCACCTCCCGGTGACTCACGGCACCGGTGTCCACAAAAGCACTACCGAGGCGCTACCGTCAACACCGGTGCTGACGCAACCGACCGAGATGCCAAAGCACACGTCGGTCGTTAGTCGCCAACCGTCATCGCCGACGCCGACACCAACCGTTACTACAGAGCGACGCACTACCGCACCGTCGCATGAAGGTGAGGTGACACATCAGTCGACGCCCGTCGTGACGTTGCCGCCGACCAAAGCGACGCTACCGGTGCCCGAGAGCTCGTCAGCGCCGCCGAGAGTCGTTCAGGAGACGCCACCTGTGTCGAAACCGATGTCTTGGTCGTCGCCACCGCTTCCGGCGACGCAAGCTCCGTCCGAGCCTGTCGGCACAAATCCGCTGGATCCGAGCGTTCAAACTGCCACCGATGCTCCCGCGGTTGCTGAGCAAACGACCGAAACGGTGTCGACTGACGCACCGACCCCATCGCCGCGGGAGGTGAGCAATCTTGCATCTCGCACGCCGGCAGCACTAACGGCTGCTCCGTCGAGTGCACCTGAACCTACGATTGTGCCGGATACCATCGTCGTCGATCCCACCGCGCCTGCCAAATTTGTGCCAACTGACCCGCCCGCGACAGCAGGCTCGCACCCGACGGCCACTCCGCGTGCCTCTGGAGTCGGAGTCACTGCGTCGACGGCGACGACAACAGCAGTAGCATCGACGCCTCCGCCGACAAAGGCTTCCATCGTCAAGCCCACATCAAGCCCGATGCACCAGGCTACTGAAGCTCCTACGCACGAGCCAACAAAAGTACCGACGTTCGAGCCCACGGTACCGCCGACGCGCAAGCCGAAACAGAGCCCGCCATCCGAGCCGACGAAAACGCCGACGTTTAAGCCCTCAAGGAGTCCGTCGCCCAGACCCACTGATGCACTAACGCCCGAGCCAACGGAGGCACCAAGGCCCGAGCCTACGGAGGCACCAACGCCCGAGCCTACGGAGGCGCCAACGCTGGAGCCTACGATGGCGCCGACACCAGAGCCGACCCCCAAGCCTACAAAGGCCCCGACGCACAAGCCAACAAAGCCTCCGACGCACAAGCCAACGCCAGAGCCCACGGAGGCGTCGACGTCGTACTGGCCTGGCTGGTACCGCATCATCTCGACGTTCTGGCCGGTGCGCTAAGGGCATCCACCTATCTGTTCGTGCCAAAGTCTACGCGTGCTATTTTTATTAACCACGTAGTGTATATAAATGTTTGTAAACTATCTCTACGTCCATAGTAACGTTAGGAATTGATTCTTGGCTTGGATCTACAAAAGCGATCTTTCATGGGACTTTGACGTTCGTCGCACAATCGTATGTGACTCCCTTGTGGCCAATCACAAACATGTGTGTGACGGAGCAGACCGCACCTGAATCGCCGCTTCCTGCTGACGACACCGAAGACAGCGACAGCCGCGTCGACATTCATTGCGTCCGAGAGGCTAGGATACCGTACGAATACAGGCCGCCGAAATTTGCCGCCGTCAGTTGATCGCAGGTTGATCGAAAGCGCGCAGCTGGTCCAGAAGCTTGATGGTGGGACGTCGAAATGTCCCTTCGTTCGATTGCAGCAGGTGGGTGGCACGCGCCTGATCGGCGCGCCTCGGTCCCTTCGCCCTGCACAAGCAGGTCATGAAGAACGAGCTTACAGACGCTCGGTGAACCCTCGTCCTCGATCCATGACTTCCTGAAGCTAGTCGATGCGGTGTCGAGACAAGAAGCCGCGCGCCGAATCGTGGCATCTCACCCACTGCACTCTGCGCCTGCAATTGCGGAACCCAGACCTCGCCTTGCCGCGTACAGTACGACGACGACGACGACAAGTCGATGTATGTATTGGCGACAAAGGGACAAAAAGCCATCCAAGCCGTTGGTTGGTCGTCGCTCCGAGCCCCACGCCAACTTGCACTGTATCACGCTCGGTGCAAGATGATATGCTGGCTGCCACCTGGTGATATCCGAATCTTGGCCTCATTTCAGGGCGCTTCGATGCCACTCATCGCTATTTTTTGCAAATTGTATTTAAACACTTGGTGTTTGTATGGAATCTCACAGGTGCAATCTGAGGCCTGAAATCAGGTCGGCGCGCGCCGCGGCAGTCGAGGCTGGTGCCAGTCAGTTCATTTCCGAATCGTCGAGATGAAGGCTGCATTGACCTGCGCTGTCATCGCCGGGGCCGTCCAGGCGACCCTTGGCCTTGACCGCTTCTTCTACGGTCTGGACTACGACACGCGGGCCAACCAGTGGGGCGGTTGCAAGTCCGAGTGGGCGATCCGCGAGGACTTCAAGGCCATGAACACGGTCACGACCAACGTGCGCATCTACTCGACCGAGAACCCGTGCGTCGAGCGCGTGCTCAAGATCGCCGGCGAGCACAAGATGAAGATCTGGATGGGTCTCTGGGGCAACATCGAAGCCGACCTCGACTCGTTCGAGCGCGACTTTGCCAACTTCCAGCGCCTCGTCAAGGAGAAGAAGGTCCGCAACGACAACGTGCTCGGTATCGGTGTCTCGTCGGAGGCCATCTACCGCCACTACATCCAGGGCGGCCACGATTTCGCCGAGACGGACGGTACCGAGAAGCTCATCGGCTACGTCTCGCGCACGCGCGACTTTATCCGCGCGAACGGCCTCAACTTCCCTGTGACCATCTCGGACGTCATGGATGCGTACAAGTACTCGGCCAACCTCTACGACGCGGTCGACGTGGTC